AGTAAAGTTGAAGAGATTATTTTCCATTCTAGCACTGGATTGAGTCAGAAGCTGCTCTTCACTGTCACTGTGTGACCAGTCCCTTGGTAAACACTAGGGAAACACAAACACTCCCTCTGTCCTTTTAGGCTAGATCAACTTAGCTCTATAGAAGGCACAGGGACGCTAAGGCAGACTTTCCCAGTGTCCAGGCTAACTCTTTGGATGTTCTAATTCCTTTGAGACAGGGTCTTGGGTAGTCTTTGATTCACGTGTAGCTAAGGATGACCTTGAATTCCCCATCCTCCTGCCTCCACCACTCCTGACTCTGCTTGCATTTCTGACTGAGGACTGTGTTCTTTTCGGACCATCAGACTCAACGCCCGTCAGCATCCTCTAAAAACCTGCTGTTTCTTCTGCTAGGTTAGTCCTGGCCCATGATGCCTTTTGTTTTGTTTTGTTTTGTTCCCCAGGTATCCAGCTTCAAACTTGTGGGATAATTGTTTGTGTGTGTGTGTGTGTGTGCGTGTGTGTGTGTGTGCAGGTAATCATCCACATGCTTGTGGAGGTCAGAGGTTGACATCAGGCGTCTTTCCTCAGTTATTGTCTATCTTTTTCCTTCCAATTTATTCTTTGAGGATTTCATACAATGTGTTTTGGTCAGAGAAGGCCTCCCAATTCCCTTCACACCCCTTCCAGACCACCTTCCCTGCCATATCTTCCTCCCCACTTGGTGTCCTCTTTTCACCCCTCCCTGAGTCCAATCAGTGCCGCACAGGTATAGAGCCACTCACTGGAGCATAAGAATCCTTCTATCCACCGGGGAGCCCCAAGGATCACTCGCTGCCTCCCCAGCACAACATCGCCCAGCATTTTCAAACAGAATAGTTCCTGAACTCCTCCCTCCCGTCTAGTCAGGCATGGAGTCCAGCCTCCTCCAAACACTGGTCTCTGCCATCCTTTCTCCTTCTCTTGGCATGCACCCTGCCCCGCTGGAGTATCTGAGGCCTGGGATATCGTCCACGACTTCCCCAGAGGACTCAGCACTCCACCCTTTCCTGACCTAACCCAGCCTTCCAGAAGCTTCCTCCGGAAACGCCCCCTTTCACCTGGCTCACACAACCTTAGATGGTTGACAGTCTGTTCTGGACTTTGTTTTCCAGGCACTTCAAGATCACCTGACTCTGTTCTCCTTTCTGGTTAGGTCAGTCTCCTTCCTGTCCATGAAAATATTACAGTGCCTGCATCTGTACACAGATTCATGTTTTCCACCCACCTCTTTGGTGGAACCTCTGCCCTCCGTGTTCCACCAGACAAGGGCTTGTGATTCCTTGAGAGCACTTGATTTTTCTACCCTGCTCCTACTCCAGGGTTCAGTGCTTGCTTTATCCTGTACTCCGGGAATAGCAATGTCTCCTTTGAGCCGCGACTGTATCCTATACTCCTTTAAAAAAAATTTTTTTTTGAAGGCAGGGTTTCACGGAGCCTAGTCCAGCCTCAAGTTTGCTGCGTAGCCTAGGATGACCTTGAACTTCTGACCCTCTTGCCTCTACCTTCCAAGTGCTAATTACAGGCCTGTGTCACCACCTCTGGTTTTATGTGGGGCTGGGGACCAAACTCAGGCGTCCCCAGCCCTACTCTTTGTATATCCCTTATTATACTAGCTGCAGCATTCTGATTACATGTCTGATTTCTGTGCTAGATTATGAGTTGCCCTCTCAGAATGGTTTAGATGTGGTTTTAAAACAAGGTTACTAACCTTCAACAGCTCCCTTCTTTGAACTCTTGGGGAACAACTTTAGTGACTCAACAAGTGTTTGTTGAATAACAAATGAGTCCATTTCTAACTAGCTGCTGTTTGGTCTTCAAAGTTCAAGCAGAATGCCTCTACATCTCCACAGCCTTCGACTGTCCTATTTCCCAGCCTGAGAACATACGGGTTATTACTACAGACAGTAGGATGACTTCTTCAATTGGATCTCAACCTCCTGGAAGGCACAGGGATACATTTATATCATTTGTATGTGGGCATTGACAATGGTACCGAGCAAATTAAAAACTGAACAAATATTGCTTTCTAAGGAAAACTGACGGCTGATAGCCAGCCAGGAAAATTTCAGTTTTCTTCGTACAATTTTAATCTGGAAATTCAGTACAAGTTCATTCAGAGACAAGTATTATGAATTCCTATTAGGTTCCCTGACCTCAGAACCATTGTTGGTATAGACAAGAACTCTATCAGTTAGAGAAATTCTTCCCAGGTAAAATTAGTATTGCTTCATAGAAGCCACATATGTGACTTTCACTTTGTGTGAGCATGTGTGTACGGGTGTTCACATATGTGTGAGTTCCTAGTCATGCACGGGGTCAGGCGGAGGTTGAAGCCACATCAGACCTCTCCCTCCATTGCTCTCCACATTATTTACCGAGGCAAGGTCTCTCCTGAACCTGGAGCTCAGCCGTTCCGTCTAGTCTGGCTATCACCTGGGAACCTTGCACTTACGTGGGTTCTGAGATCTGAACTCCAATCCTCATATTTCCATTTTAATCCACTGAGCCACCTAGAGAGGTGAGCTTGGAAATGTATAGATCTGCAAATTTTTTTTTTCCTGGCTGATTGACCAGTTTTCGGTGACTGTTGGATCACTTTGATGGGGGGAAAGGGGTACTTTATAATCCTGGTTGAGTTTTTGGGGTGGTGTACTGAATTGGTTCTTGTAGCCAAGATTGTCACCATTGAGGAATGGGAAGAAAGACTCCTTGAGAGATTTGGTGTTTCTCTCTCTCTCTCTCTCTCTCTCTCTCTCTCTCTCTCTCTCTCTCTCTTTGGTTTGATTTGGCCTTTTTCTTAAAAAATCAGTCTGTGCCCCAAAACCAGTGAGTTGGACTGGACCACCCAAAACTGTGTGTGTGCTGTGCTCTAAGAGCTCATCAGCTTACTTAGGCTGACCAGAAGCCATGACACATGCTGCTGGAATGACAGCTCACAAGCTTACAGACCAGAGTCCAGGCCATGTCATCAGTCACATTTAAAGGAGAAGATCGGACGCCACCATTCCCACTCTTTCTGGTATCTTTGGCCAATTGTCTAGCTCATGATTTAAACGTAACATGAATCTTTTGCATTTCTGGTTTTGCTTGTTTGTTTGTTTGTTTGTTTTTATGGTGTCCTCTGCCTTATACCCTCTCAGATAATGAGAACCAGAATCAACTGCTCACGCCAAGTGCAGGGAACAACACCAGGAGCCAGCTTCACTCAGCACCGTCTCCTCAGGGCTCTCAATGCCCTGCACACTCTGAGGGACTTCTCCGGTAATTAGCTATGAGAAGGTCCCTGAAAGTGAAGTCTTCCCTGCCCACTCTTTATTCATGGGTTCAACATTCCTGAGTGACAAGCAGGGGTCAGAAGCGGTGCTTGATGCTCCAGACTTAAAACCATTCAAACCCTGTTTGAAGGTCAGTTGGGGTAACCTGAAAGTAAACTGTCTTCACTGTGAAGATAATATTGGATATGCTTTAGGTTACCCCTGAAAGCAAAATTTGATATATGAATACGTCTTTCGGTCAGAATACTTTCCATTAGTATGCACATATAAAATACAATTATTCATATTAATATATAGCTTTATAGTATGACTATTATGAAAGAAAAAGATGAAATACTGTTGACTTACAGAAAACAAAGGTCATGTAATGACATCCTATTCTAGCCGTGAACAGGTGATTAGGGAAGTCTAGTAACTCCTCGAGGACTTTGAATACTAGCGAAGCTCCACAAAACAATCTGTTTTAGCTGCACCGTTCACATGCTACCATATGGAAATAAGAGAGATAGCAAATATCCTGGGAAGCTAAGGTTGCTTCCCGGTTCCGTGGGACCACAAACATAGAAGGGAAAACTTAAAAGTATAGAATAGCATTAGGACATCAAGTTAGATACAGCATCTGTAGGCCCTGTGGCTTCTGCCTGGGGGCCTCCCAGAACAGCTAACTGTGGTAGACACCGCAGAGCTGTCTTTAGGGCCGGGAAGACGGCGCAATGGGTAAAGCGCTTGGCTTGCAAGCATCACAATCAAATCTGGGATCCCCAGAACCCATGTGAAAGCCAGGTGTGGTAGTATCCGTCTGCTCTTCCAGTTGGAGAGATGGGAGGTGAAGGCAGAGAGCTCCCTCAAGGACTGGCTAATATACACGTGCGCACACACACACACACACACACACACAGGCACATGCACACACGATTAACATTCCCTGTATTCATTACCTATATTAGGGAAAGAACTGAGAATTAGGGAGAACAGTGTTTTACATACATAGAATGAATTTTTTAAAACTGACCTTACCCGCCGTGTTACTCTATCTCAAAAGCTATCAACCATTATATCATTACCTCCTCCATTTGTTTTTAATTTTTTGAGACAAGGTCACAAGTGGTCCAAGCTGGCCCTGAACTCACTATATAACTGAGATTGGCCTAGAACTCTGACCTGACTTCCATCAGCATCCACACATATATACAATATACATATTCTTTTTTAAAAAAAATCTTAAAAATATATGGCTTTTAGAAGAAAAAAAATTGAGAGAGGGTCTTATTTAGACCAGATGGTCTTGAACTCTCCAGTAGTCAAAGATGGCCTTGGGCGACTGGTCCCCTGGCCTTTCCCTCCTGAGTGCTGGAATTCAAGCTTCTGCCTGCATATTTGGTTCTCTGTGGTGCTGAGGGAATCCAGGGCTTCCAGCATGCTAGCTAGACAGGAACTCTACCAGTCCAAGCATTTTATTTTCTTGCAATGCCAGGGTGAGGGGTTGAACTTAGGCCCTCACACATCCTGGGCAAAGACTCTACCAGCACCAAGCTACAGCCTTAGCCCTAGAACAATTTGAGTTACTTACGGAGCTAATTTTAGGCTCCGGCCTTCCATCCTAGCTCCTTTCTCAAAGGAAGTATAGGGTTTTCTGGAACAACAATCATGGTAGACGGATAGCATTGCCAAACACCACTCTCTGGCTGTTTTTACCTGACTTGGGGCGGTGGAATTCCTACCACTATGCAATCCAACTGGACTCGGCTTCCTTCCGGAACTTCACGGCTCCGTAACTTTTGTGTGAAGCGGGGAGGCTGCCCCAGAGGTTCTTCGTAGTACAGGGATGAAGGTGAAGACCCCGGGGTGCTGTCTCCAGCAGTAGCCTCACCCACAGCCAACTCAGCCTCGCGCCTCTTAGCTTCCCGCTGTTCTATCGCGTGGTTCAGCTCGTTGTCCCTGCTGTCTGCAGGGATAGGGATGGGGACCGATGCTCTTTCCCGCCTCTCTGTCAGATCTGAGAAAGCGGGGCTGTTTTCCTGCAGGGCTTTGTTTTGAGATTCCTGTTTGCTCTTGTGGTTTTTGCAGGCCCGAGGTCTGATCCTCTTGGAGCTGTGAGCCTTGAAAAGGGAGGACAGCTCTTCGATGAAGTCGGCGGCCTTGTTTAGGAAGACTTTCTTGGACTGGCTTTCAGAACTGTACTGTGGTCTTTTTGTCTCCGGTGGACTGTCTTTTGAGCTGCCAGGACCTCGAGGGCTATCCTGGCAGAAGGCAGGTTCGAAGCTTGGTTTGGGTGAAAGCTTTGTCTTGTCAGAAGACAGACGTTTCCTAGCTTGAGCTTCATCCATTCTCTCCAGAGGGTCGTGGTTGATGGCCAGCCTCGCCAGATTGACACTCTCATCCAGCTCTTCTTGGCTTAGGAAGGCCGACAGATCCGGAAGGTCCTCTTGCCCTCCTCCTTCGGCAGCCCCGGAAGGACTGCCAAAGTGGAAAGGGTTGGAGGAAGGTTCCGCTCGACTCCGCTCGTTGTCCCCGCGATGTCTGGTTTCAGCCAGATAGCTTTCTCTGAGAAGCTGAGAGATGGAAGTAGATGCTTCTATGCTGTCGTCTTGCATGCTGTAACAAAGTGATGGGCATAGCAAAATAAAATAAAATAAATAAATAAATAAATAAATAAAAATAAAAAAATTCAGACCACTGCCACAGAATAACAAGCCTGTATTTAATATAGCACAGACTTAAATTACGCAAGAAATGCTTAAATCACCTAATGTTGACACTTCCACAAAAGTGACCTAACAATGCTGCCTCATTGTAAAAGGAAATGAAACTCAATGAAGTCTCCCTGAAATTAAAAGTAAAATCCTGCTGGGCCACGGTGGTGGCGCATGCCTTATTTAATCCCAGCACTTGGGAGGAAGAGGCAGGTGGATTTCTATGAGTTCTGGGCCAGCCTGATTTACATAGTCAGTTCCAAGACAACCAGTGCTATATATAGAGAGAGACCCTGTCTTAAAAATCCAAAACAAACAAACAAACAAAGAAACAAACAAAAAATGGCTGGTGATATCTATTTCAGTACTTTCTTTATATTAAATTCTATTGTACAAGCTATGAGATAACCATAGCAATTTTATACAGTGTCAGGGCTGGGGATGGAACTCAGAGGCAGAACGCTTGCCTAAAATGTAAAAAAAAAAAAAAAAAAAAAAGTCTAACCTAATTTATAAATTTATTTATTTATTTATTTATTTATTTATTCACTTATATATTGTTGTGTAATGCCTACATGTGCCATGGAGGGTCTTTCTTGCACCATGTAGACCTAGGAAGCACACTTGGACTGGACTGCAAGCACCTTTCCCCACTGAGCCATCTCATTGACCTGTCTGAGCCTGATTTTGCTAACAGTTGCAGTGGTCTCTGTGGTGATGATGTACAGATCTGTTCTGCATCCTTTCCTCATTCTTGCCAATTTTGTTAACTTGAGGATAAGTTGACAACATGGTCCCATTTAATTGCTGAAAATGTAGCCTTGGTATCTACGGCTCATGAAAAGAAATGATGTTTATGTTGTTTGACTAGAGCCAAGCTGTTTAAATTTAGTGTTGTTGCTGGGCTCATTTTGTTCTTGAAAGCTAGGATAATCTGGGCTTCATGTTGCGTCTAAGCTGTGGGAAATTTGTATTTATTTTTTGTTATAGATTTAAAATTAAAAAGAATCATTTGTATGTCTGTGTAGAGTCTGTCCACAAGTGCCAGTGCTCAAGGAGGCATCAGCTCCCAGTGTGGGCACAGAGAATAAAACTGCACCCTCTGCAAGAGCAGAGTGCTCTTAACGGCTGAGCCATCTCTCCAGCCCCAAGTCTAGGTTTTTAAGAGTGTCTTAAATTAGCCCTGGTTAAGAGAAGACACGAGAGGCAGCAGAATGTAATGCTTGACAGGGGACTTAGCATACCTGAGCGCAGTCTTAGTTTGTAAATTATTAATATATCACCTTTTGAAAATGAATACTTTTAAAAACCTTTAGGAAATACACGAGGCTGGAAAGTTGGCTCACTGGTTAAGAGAGTACTTGTTCTTTCAAAGGACATGGGTTTGAACCCCAGCACTCACATGGAGGCCCTAAGCATACGTGTGGGTACAGACATACATGCAGGCAAAGCACTCACATGAATAAAATTTTAAAAAATCTATAAAAAATAAAATAAAAAAGAAAATACTACAGTGTGATTTGTACTGGTGATGTCCTGTATTGATTCAGCCACTGACTAGAGGGATAACAAACTTGTCACTCAATTCTCTCCCGTCCTGAACAGAGGCTACAACCTTCCCATTGACCTTGACTCGCTCAGCATCCCACCCTTTAGCCCCACCCACCCTCAGATGTGGCGACTGAACGAAGACTGTGCTTGCCACTCTTTGCTACTAGGTACCGGCCTTGTCCTGGAAAGATGGGGGTGAAAATAATACCCTAAGATTCAGGACAAAGCCTATTTCAGTCCATCTGTCTCTTCTGCCTGGCGCAGTAGTCCCTCACTTACATCATACGAAGGCTTCCTAGGAACTTCCCTGGCTCCCAAACTTTCACAGTGCTATCCCAGACTAACCTTTCAACTGGCAAAGTAGGCAATCACCTTGAGAGGGCAGCTAGAGAGGGCTGGAAAGATGGCATGCAGTGAGATGGTTTTACGTGCTCTTGCCAGAGCCTGGGATGGTTCGAACTGGAGTTACTTCAGTGAAGTCTGTTGTGCCTTCAAAGGTGATGAATTTAAAATTCATGGGTGTTGGATGAAAACCATCACCTTAGTCTAGGAAGACAGTCATTATGATACAGATGCTAATATGAAAACTGAAGCTATTTTCAGTAAGATTTAGTTAAGCAAATTATGATATGTTCACTTACTAGAATAGTTTTAAACTTTGTAGAATGATAATATGCAAAATAGCCCATGAAAGCAAAAGTAATGTTGGTTGAATATTTTCATTTGTGCATGAACTCTGTGGAAGAACAGATGTGTGAAAGAAGGCTCAAAATGCTATTATTTGAAAGCTTATTTAATATCCTGATTATCACCAATAATTCATAAATCAGTTATTGTAATTACCCATTTGTTATCGATGACTTCTTTAGCTCTGTTTGAGTTTCTGAATACGCTGAAGTGTGTATTCTAAGATTTAGAAAGCAGGATGCCTTTCTGTTTGAGGGATGCTATTATTTGTAACGTCGTAATGTGACTTTGTTGTTAGCTCTGTGTGTTTGCATTGGCTTAGATCTGGAGTCAACACAGAAATGAGCATTGGCTTTCAAATTAGGGAGATATGAGTTCAAAATATGGCTTTGTCTCTTAGCAGGAATGTGACTGAGACATCCACGTGATTTCTCGAGTTCACTTCCCTTGTCTTATCTCCACATAATCTCTCTCTCTCTCTCTCTCTCTCTCTCTCTCTCTCTCTCTCTCTGAGAGTCAAGAACAACGTCAAGAAGGCAAAGCCCTTCACACATAGCCTATGCTTGTGAAGATGCAACTGATATCATTTTCATTTATTTATTTAATTTTAGTTTTTTTTTTTTCCGAGACAGGGTTTCTCTGTAGCTTTTGGAGCCTGTCCTGGAACTTGCTCTTGTAGACCAGGCTGGCCTCGAACTCACAGAGATCAGCCTGCCTCTGCCACCCGAGTGCTGGGATTAAAGGCGTGCGCCACCACCGCCCGGCTATCATTATTTTTAAAAACATTTCTTTTCCTTCCTAAAACATGGCACAGACATTGATGTTGTCCTAAAACATGGCACAGACATTGATGTTGAAGACATTTCAGAAAATTCATTTTTAGGGTGAAAGTGGATAAAGAGAATAGTCATTGATTTCTATATAAAGTTTTTTTTTTTAAAGAAGCCAACTGAGATACGTGCGCTTGTTTTTATGTTTACGGTTCTGAAAACTATTCCAATAATAAAACTTCCAATTATTCAAAAATACAGGATTTCTCCAAAGCTACAGAGAAACCCTGTCTCAAAAAACCAAAATATATATATATATATATATATACATATACATATATATATATATATATATGATTTCTGTAGTAGTTTTAATGTTTTATGCCCCAAGATGTTGGGAGTCTGTGCTCAACATCTGTGGCTTCCTGGCCTTCTTAAGTTGAGAAAGCCTAACTTCTAGAAGCCTTCATCTCAAGCTGTGAAACAGGGAAGACAACAGTGGCCATCTCTGGGCTGAAGTGATGATTAAATGGTCTCGGTGTAAGGCAGTTTTTAAACAATCAACAGAGGGTCCTTACTCTTGACACTTAACTGCCGTGACCGCGCATGGCCCCGTTTTGAGATGGAGCATTAGGAGCACTAGTGAGATGACTCCTTGGGAAGGACGTGGACAATACACTGGCCCCTGGCCTTGTCCTTACCCAGGATGGATGGATGTCGTAATGTATGTCTATATTCTACCGGGATCCAAGCTCATGAACGACCTGCCCTCACTTCAGAACACTGTATATATTCTTTTCAATTGGTCCGCTCACTGTTCCCACCTCTCCTTCTTCTCTTTAGACTAAATTCTGCATAGTTTCCAACTCTTAGCCAAGACGTCACCACCCTCTCTCCAATATGCCTGAAAACCTCATGTTCTTATCACCCAACACAGTGCTTAATGAAATATACTGAATTTGTCTTTTTTTTTTTATTGTCTCTTCTACACTGTTCTGTCTTCTCTCTACAAACAGAGAGCAGAAGGTCGTCGACAAATACCTGCTGCGTTGCTTTGTTCACCAGAACTTCCCATCAGCCCTATTCGTTATTTTTTTTTTTAATTGCAGGGTTAGGTTGAAGAGATAAAATGACAAAAGAAAAACTAACTGATACTGCAAAAACACTTTGGGCAAACGTTCTGCTACTGGCTACAACCCTGCCATGTCCTCTAAAAAGTATTAGTTGAGCATCTCCTATATGCCAGGTGCCGTTCTAGGGACTGAGGATTTAGTGGCTACTAAAGGACAGAGCTTGTTTTTATGGAGCTGAGTTCCTGGGGGTGATTGATACCAATGTTATGAACAAAAATAATATAGGGTGTGGTGGCCAACTTTAAAGTGAGGAGGGGGCCGGGCGGTGGTGGCGCACGCCTTTAATCCCAGCACTCGGGAGGCAGAGGCAGGTGGATCTCTGTGAGTTCGAGACCAGCCTGGTCTACAAGAGCTAGTTCCAGGACAGGCTCCAAAACCACAGAGAAACCCTGTCTCGAAAAACCAAAAAAAAAAAATAAATAAATAAAAATAAAGTGAGGAGGGAAGGCGAGAAGGGTGAGTTACTGGGAAGGCCAAGATAACCTATGATGGAGACTTTAGTAATCTGACCACCTGGGGAGAATATTCTTTACCAAGGAAGGAATGTCAAGGTCAGAAAGAAAACACATTTGTGGCGTTGGAACAAGTCCTATGTACCCAGGGAGCAAAACGAATGGAAGACACGAGGTTGGGAAAGTACAAAGCCACAGAGTGCATGTGGTGGCTCATGCCTGTGATCCCAGCACTTGGAAGGCTGGGACAGGTCAGCCTGGACTACACAGTGAGCTCCATGACAGCCTGAACTATAGAGTAAGATCCTG